CAATAAAAAATATATATATACAAAAGTACTTGTGAAAATGTAATTGCTGGTCATGTCTAAATAGCTTCTTAAACCATGACCAATATCAACTGATCTGTATTTCATCTATCAGATAAAATAGTGAGAAACAGGGTCATAAGAAAATGGACCACCATACCCCCCAATAAAAAAAGAAGAAAAGAAAAGAAAATGGAGGAGGTAAAAATCTGGGCACAAACTGGGTCATGGAGTGATATCCAGAAGGCGTGGTCTGGGTAGGGCTCTTGAGAGCCCTGGGAGTTTAAGCAACATCTACTGGATGCCTGAGGAAGCGGGCTGTTGAGTGAGACCTTTGCCACCACCGTCTGCCTGACGACCTTGAGGGCTCTGCTTGGTAAGAACTCCACCGAGCAGTTGACATTTCGTTTCAGTCTCACAGCACCACAACCTTATGAGGTAGGTAGCGTTTTTATTCAAACGAAGAAATGGAATCATTGGCAGAGACATTAAATGACTTGCCAAGGATGGCACAAGCTGGGAGGAAGGAAACATAGCCTCAAGTCATCTGACTTCATCTGCCATTTATACCTTCACAAGTACCATCTCTATGCTGATGACTCCCATCATTAAGAAATCATCTCTGGCCCAGGTATCTCTCTTGACTATCAGGCTCCTGATTTCTGAAAAATAAAAAGTCCTCTAGGACTCTCATTTGCATATCCAACAGCTGTCCGAAAATTCAACGTGTTCAAACTGAACTATCGTCCTCCTCCCCACAACAAAACAGAAAATCTCTAATATACACAGTGGTTGCTGTCTCAGCTAACGCCAACTTCCTCCTTGGTTGTTCAGGCCAAAATCCCCAGAGTCATCCTTGATGCCTCCTTTTGGCTCAAACCACACATGGAAATCATCAGGAAATCCTGTTGGCTTATCTTTAAAATAGATCCAGAATTTGACCACTTTTACCACCTTCTCTAGTACAACCTCTCGTACCTTAATTATCCTAATAGCCTCCGACTGGGTCTCCCTACTTCTACTCTCGTGGCCCTTTAACTAATTCTTAACCCTGTAGCCAGAGTGACCCTCCCCCACCCCCTTTTCTCTTACCATTTTATTGCTAAAAATATATAGTTACAAACAGATATCTCGCTTAATGAATTATAAGGTGTGGTGCATACCCTTGGAAGCACCTTCCAGGTCAAGACACAGAATGTCACCAGCCAACCTCGGCTCCCCTCCACGTGCCCCATCCCAGTCACAGCCTCTGACAGGAACCATTGTCCTGATTTTTACAGCACTCTCTTCCTTGTGTTTCTTTGTGATTTTGACATCCTCGTGGGCAACCTGAGGCACAACAGTTTAGACTTGCCTACTTTTAAAAACTTGGTATGTCTTTTAAGTCTCTTTCAATCTCCAGGATCCCCTCCACCCCTTTCTTCCCCCGACGGATTTTCTGCTGAAGAACCTGGGGTCGTGCAGCCTGCACACTCTCCTGCAATCTGGGTTTTGCCGATCGAACCCTCACGGTGCATCACAACACGTTCCTCTGTCCTCTGTCGGCCGGGCCGACATGTTGATAGCTGCATCCAGAGTCAGATCCAGTTTGATTCCTTTTGGCAAACTGTGGCACATTCTTTCAAAAGGAGGCATATAAAATCTGGCTTTCACCTACCTTGTTTTATTGTTTTTAATAAACTTTAATTTTAACTTTCACTCTGTCGATGTTAGCAGCCAGTGGTGCTCAGTGCCGAGATCCATTAATTCATTAGGGTTTGCAAAATGGGCATACTCTGATTTTATGATTTTGTTTTCCTTTATGAGCTGGAATAATTTTATGAGATGTTTCCTGCTTCTGTTACTATCACAGTTTACATGAGAAAGGCAGAATAGTGCTCGATTCTTCCCATAATTTCCTCAGTTTTCGGATAATGAATTGGTTTCCTGTCATCCTCAAAAGGTAACCATTTTTTGTATCATGTGTATGTGTGTGTATAATTTTGAACTTTGCATTTCTTTTGTTTACCGAAGCTCAAAGAGTTTCTATTTGCCAGAAACACGAAGCAGAATCATTGAAATAAAAGGATTCCTCACGACCCCTCAGTTTTCATCTTAGATTTGTGACTTTTAAAAAAAAAATTTATTTGCCTACCAATAATTATCCAGGGTGAAGAATCTCCTCTGGAAGAAAATGCTTTATTTCATTCACATTTTGGCCAGTGAAAGCCTCTTTAGGATGAGTTACTTGGACAACTCTAGTAGGCTGTGCTAGGTTGAGTACTGTCCCTGCAAAATTTGTGTCCATCCAGAACATATGAACGTAACCTTACTTGGAAATAGGGCCTTCGTAGAGGGAATCAGATTAAGATGAACTCTTATTGGATTAGGGTAGGCCCTCAATCCAATCTGACCAGTGTCGTTATAAGAGGGACATTTTGACACACAGACACGCAGAGCATGTCTTGTGATGGAAGCGGAGACTGGAGCAAAGCATCTTCAAGGCGAGCACGGCCAGCAACGACCAGGATGTAGGAGAAAAGCGGGAAACAGACTCTTCTTCAAAACCTCCATAAAGAACCAATCTTGCTGGAGCCTTGATCTCAAACTTCTAACTTCCGGAGCTGAGAGAATAAATTCCCGTTGTTTTAAGCTTCCCAGTTTCTGGTACTTGGTCATGGCAAACCTAGCAAACTGACACCTAATACTTGATAACGTTTTCACTCTCTGGTATGAGAAGGTGTCCCTGGTGGCGCATCTCGACCATTTTGTGGCCCAGATCTGGAGTGTTTCTTGATCTTTTTATAGATAGACCAAGAGGGGAGATAAACATATTGGAAGATAAAAAGGATAAAATTCTCATGCATTCATAATGATATTTCCAATGCAAATTATGAGAATCCTATTTCTCAAGGACCTTGGGATAATGAAATAAGAATATTCTACAATTTCTCATTTGCTTTGTCCTATGTTACAAGGGCAACTATCAGAATAACAATGCCAGCACCACCACCACCCATTATGCTTATTCAAAGGTTTTAAAATGCTTGCTTACACCACACCTCTCCTTGCCTTCTTGGTTTTTTTTAATGGTTATGCTAAATGTACCTTGCCAGAGCATACAGGTAGTACATACACTATGTCCTATGCCTTTTTACACTTTTAATCCAATTCTATAAATAATTGTATATTTAATACTCACCAATAGTCCTTATACTAATTATTCTTAAATCCCTGTGGTTGTCGGAAGCACATTTTTTAGAGAATTCTTTAGGAAGGGCTCACGGGGAAAAGATTCCTCAAGCTCTTGCATATTGATAAATTTTTCAGGGCCCTTTTTACTTCAAGGTAAATTTTGCTGGATTTAAAATCTACAGCTCATATTTACTTTCCTTGAGTACCTGAAATATGGTATCGCATTTGCTTCTGGCATCAAGTTTTGCTGTGAAAATGTCTAATGATTAATTTTCTTTCCCTTACAAGTGACATGCTCATTTCGTTTTCTTTGAAACCTGAACATTTTACTAATACATATTTATTCTTCAGCCCATTATATGCTCTTCCAATATGTAGTTTAAAATCTTTTTCTTTTTTTTTTTTTTTGGTGCCATTCAGGCAAATTTTCTTATGTTATAGTGTTCAGTATTCATTCTGTTTCCTTTTTGAAGACTTTTATTATCTTCAGGCTGTATTTTTTTTGCCAATCTGAAATATTTCCCATATTTTCCCACATCCTTGTCTTCATTACTTTTTGAGATTTAAAAATGTTCTGACTTTTCACTTTCTATTTCTAAGGTGCTATTTTTTGTTTATTTGCTTTTGTAGTCCTTCTAATATACTTTGATTTTTTTCTTTTTAATTATTTCTTGAATTTCTGAGCTCATGTAATTCTGATTTATCTTTCTTTAATTCCAATATAAAATATTTTCTTAGAGTCTTTTATTTTATTTTGAAAAAATATACTACTTTTTTATGCATACCTTTCTGGCATGATTTCATGATCTATATTCTAGTTTTCTTATCACAGTTTTGTATGGATTTAATTTTGATACTTTTCTGGTGCTCACTTTTATGTGAATTAAATTTTCTAGCACTGTTAGAAGGAACCTTGATTCGGCTATCTTCTCTGAATTCACAGAGCCTCCTCCTCTGTGTTTTGTGTGATACTGAAACACAAACAAACCAGAACAAACCGCGGTGGCTTGCTCTCGGGGATTTTCTGGTTCTGTTCTCCTCCACCATTTTGCTCTAAGCTTTCCTTTCTGCATCTCTTCTCTCCTATTTTGTTGTGTTTCGAATCCACTCCCAGCAGTTTCTCTTCACAGAAGACTGTGTCTAGTAATGGAGGTTGGAATGGGCAGTCTCAAAAGTTCGAAGGAACCGATGTGCTGCAGCCCCGCGGACCTTACCACGAGCCCTGCGTCCACCTGCCAGTGGAATGCCCATCTCAGACTGGCCTCCTGTGTCTTCCGGTGAGTAACTGTTGGCTATTTTGCGGTTCCCCTGTCATCAGGTCCATCAAATGCCCTGTTTCTTTCCTCTGCAAACATACTGATACCACACAGGCCTTTGGTGACTTGTTTCCGTCCACTTCTTTTGAGGGGTTTTGGGAAGACACTTTGTCATCTAGTTTTGAGCTAAATGTTGTCCAAGGGTTTTCCGTTTTCATAGGAGTTTCTCCATCGGTTGTTCCGCGGAGATTCAGAACAACCCAAAACTGTCTCCATCGCTGCTGCTGTCTTTTCAGAACAATCCTTTTGAATTATGTCAAATCAGCCACTTCTCAAAAGTCCTGAAGTGACTTCCTATTTCACTTAGAGTAAAAGCCAAGTGTTTACAATGGCTTCCAAGGCCCTGGAGGGTCAGTGTCTCCCCCCATCCTGGCTCATCACCTTTCTCAGCCCTTCTGCTCTCCTCTTCTTTTGCTCTCTTGGTCCAGCTATGCTGGCTTCTTTGCTGCCCCTTGAACCTGCCAGACATCTTCCCATCTTTGCACCTTTGCTCTAGAAGTTTCCTCTACCTTGATAACTCTTCCCTCAGATGTGAGCTAAGTTAACCACTTTCTTCAAGTCTTTGAAATCTCTTTCTCAATGACATCTAATCTGACCGCCCCATCTAAGACTGCAAACGCCCAGCTGGCTGTCTTGGTCTCCTTTTCTCTGCTCTGCTGTTTCTTTTCTCCTTAGCAGTTCACATCGCCTAACACTAGACGTTTTACTTATTTATTTTCTATATTCCCCTTGCTAGCATATAAAATCTGTGAAAGCAGGAATGTGAAATCTGATTCGTTCTCTTATGTATATCAAGTTCCCAAAACAAGGTCTGGCAGTTGTAACTGTTTAATAAATGCACAAATATGTAAATAAATGAAGCAGCCAAGGGTGTTGTGTGCACTGAGCCAGCCCCTAAGGAGCTGCTTTGGTGCTGGGTCACCACCCCTCCTGGTGCGGCCCCTCCGGATGCCTTGCTCCGCAAGTCTACTGCCTGAATGAGTGTCAGGAGCAGCCAAAATGAATTCTCAGAAGGCAAGCCATTGAGTTCAGCCCAAGCCAGAAATAGCACCCCAGCCATGTGCTTTCCAGCATTTTAGCACATCTGCTCCTCATCCCACTGGAAGAGCACAGGAGGCTGGAGGGCTGAAAATGGAGAGGCCGCCCCAGGCCCTGAGAAGGCGCTCAAGGGTTGGGCAGATGAGAATGCATGACAATCGCCCTGGCCCTGGGTGCCAGCCCTCGCCCAGCTGTGTGCCGGGCTGTTTGGGAACCCAGTAACCGGAGTCAGTTGTCACTTTGCCTCTTTGGATGGAATTCGTGACCACTGTTTACGTGGTGTTCTCAGCTTAGTCTCAGGGAACAGACGTCACGTGGCCCATCTCCTAGCTGTCCTGGCACAACTAATGGAGCTAGGATTAAACAAGCAAACACTGGGCTCAACAGTCTTACCGTCTAAGCAAACCTAGTAGGTGTCGGGCAAGCAGGGCCCCTCTCTCTACTCTTCCTGAAGCAAGGAAGCCGAAGGTGGAGGCCATTTTAACAAGGAAAGTCTCTCCTAAACTCTCATTAGTCTTGGAAAACGCTCCCTGAGCTCGGCTGCCTGAGGGATCCTTGTCCAGTCAGGAGATGACAAGCCTATTGCCAGGGCCAAGAAAAAAGCAGGTAAAAGGCCGAAACTGAGGTCATTTCCGGCCCCAAGCTTAGGACCTCAGCTCTTTCCTTCATTTCCCATTTATTCAGTTCCTATTAACATGGAAACTGCAAACACAGCAACCAAGATCAACTCTCATGCTCCCTCCGTGTTGTCATGCGTGGGTCCACATCAGTGCCTCCCCCGGCCCTGCACTGCCCTGGGCACTACAGGAAGCACGTTTTGAAGCCCCTTCTTCTCTTCTTTTTTGCCCTCCTTATTCCCAGCTGATGGACGGATATTCCTTAACCGGGGAAAGTGAATGGGCCCCACTTCCGTTGGCTAAGAGTGGGCCAAGACTCCTCAAATCACAGGAAGTTGAAACTCAGATTGTCTCTCAAGGTTTCCATAGTTCCCCTGAACTTGGACCAGATATTCAGTGGTCCCCACCACCCTTACCAACCATGAGGGTCCCCAACCCAGCTGAGAAAGGGGTTACCATGCAGACATAGTATATATGGTATCTTACTTATTCTATGTAAGCCCCTTGAAGTAAATACCATTATGCCCTTATACACATTAAGAAACAATTCAAGGAGGCTGAGTGACTTATCCAAGGTCATGCAGCTAGGAAAAGGCCCCATCAGCTTTTACTGCCTTATGGTGCATTCTGTCTAGCCTGTATGGATGTGTTCCACATGTTCAAGGGTGTCAGAGATATTCACCTCTGAAATGTTTCTGAAATGCTATGGACAGGACTTTCTAAATAGGAAGACCATGCCTCCTGGTTTTGATGCAGGAAAAACGGATGTGGGGCGTGAGGAGGGCTGTGTCCCAGATCTCGGCTGAGCATCTGGGACGTGCCCCACCAGGTGTGGGTCCTTGGCTTCACGCAGGAAAGAATCCAAGAGTGAGCCACAGTTGAGTAAAGGTAGATTTATTTAGAGAGATACATACTACATAGAGTGTAGGCTGTTTCAAAAGGCAAGAGAAAGGCCACAAGGTGTTGGGGTTGGGTGCTCAGGTTAAAGTAAAAGTGGGTACACACTCCATAGACAGAATGCGGACCGTCGTCTCCGAAGACAAGGGAGAGAGAGAGGCAGCCATGAGGTGTGGTGTTGCCAGTTTTTACGGGCTCGGTAGCTTCACTCCTGTAAGTGGGAGGACAATTCCAGCTTCCCTAGAGAAGGGGCTGGGATTCCCAGGAATTGGGCCACCGCCCACCCTTAGATCTTCTGTGGTTAGCCTTGGGACTCTCATGGTGCCTGTGGGCATGTTATTTATCATGCTAATGTGTTACAATGAGCATAAAATGAAGCTCCAAGGTCTACTAGAAGTCAAATCTCCTGCCATCTTAATCCTCAAGGCCTAATTGGGAGTTGAATCTTCCGCCTTTTGGTGTCAATTGCTGTCATTCCTTGAATAGCTGTGCCCTGCCCCCTTCCCTCCTGTCTCAGTTTTTTACAAGAGGGTTCTGATATTCTAGTGTTATTATTAATAGCGTCCTTTTCCCAAAATTGTCTTGGTTTAGATAATAAGTTACCTAGTCACCCTATCCAAGACAGACAAGAAGCAAAAGAGTAGGAAAAATTACAATAAGAATTGCTCAAAAGGTCACTGAGCAGAAGGCATGGAAAGATCTCATTAGAGCTTTGATGTTCTCGGTGTCTGCCCCACCCCAGCCTCTCCTGTCAGCTTCACCTTAGATGCTCCCTTCCAAACCGCTTGAACCCCTCCTTGCACAATGCCAGACCTGTGACCTACGGGACAGGAGGAAATGAGGCTGAAACATGCCAGAGGTTTCTTATTACCCCAGATGACCCTTCCAGTGGATCCCTGCCTCACTGTAAACAAACTATTTCTCCAGGCAGGAGACCCATGTCCTTCCAACACTTAACAGATAAAAGACTCACTCCTGTGGAGAAGAAATCTAAGAGACCATCGAGGGTTTGAATGTCCTGTGAAGGAAGAAAATAAGAATGTTTAGACCAAAGCTTTTACCCCACATGGAGGCTTCCCAGAGATTCTCCTCAGTCACAGAGTGGAATAACTCGTGGAAAGAGCAAATATCAAAAGAGGTCTGAGTTTGTATTCTAGCTTGCCCACTTATGAGTTCTGTGATCTTGGGTAAATTTCTCACCTTCTCTGAGCTTCAGCTTTCTAATTCATCTAAAAGTGGGTATAAGATGCTTACTTTGCAATGTAATTACAAAACATCAGATGAGATGATGTGTAAAATCTCTGGCACATAAGAGACACTTATTCATAGTGATAATGGTGACAATGATGATGACCATCATCTTTCACTGAAAGCAACACAGCAACGCTGGTCTCTGGCCACAGAAAGAATATTCCAAAGGCATAAACTCCAAAAGGAATAAGCGATAAGTACTTCATAAGCAGTCAGAAGAGTTGAAAGGAAAGGGTTCAATTGTTTAACCAATTCAAATTAAACTGAGATTTATGTAGTGCCAAGTATGGTAACGAATCCTGGGGATTTCAGGGATGCACATAAGTGAGTTTACGCCCCTTATGCTGCTCACAGCCAAATAGAGGGGCCAGGTTAAGAGGGGACATGTGTCCACACTTCCCCATGATGCCAGGCGGAACTTTTTTTCTTGGGGGGAGGTAATTAGGTTTATTTATTTTATTTTTTCTTAGTGGAGATACCAGGGATTAAACCCAGGACCTTGTGCATGCTAAGCACTCTACCACTG